GGGCCTAACCCAGAAACAACATACTGATACTAAAGAAAAGGTCAATCTATGTTATAAACACTGCAATATCTCTCTCCCCAAAAAATATATATATAGAAAAAAAATGGAAAGAAAGAAAGCAAAAAAACAGAACAGATTGAATTCTGACAAAGCTAGAATTAGGTAGGCCATTCACATATTTAGAGTAAATCCAAATCACCACAAATGTGTAACACAAAAAAGCACCTTATACAGCATCTCAATTCCATCAATTTGCTTCTTGAAGTCTGTGCTCAGAAGCCTCCTATGCAAATCCTCTCTGAAATACTTCATAAGATCATTCTGCGGCATAGAAACAATCAAGGTACCTGCCAAATTCTGAGAGATCCAACAGCAAAGCAAGAAACCATCCGTTGAATGCTCAAAAGCACATACCTCAAGATCATGTATTTGTTCAAACCGTGGCTCTTCAAATTTAAACTTGCGGACAACCAATCTCTCCCTGTCGGCCTGCACACAGCTCAATCCAATGACAGCTGCACTAAACCAATAAAGTACATAGACTTGAAGCACGTATACCTATCCAATATATACCTTACTCGAATCCTTGACATTCAACAAAGCTTGAGACTGAATGGTGATATCATGCACAGACATAATTGATTCCGGCCGCGAGACCTTTGTTGAAACAATTCTCTTCCCAAACCATGAAAAAAATCAGTATTTTTATCATTCTTCAAGAAACAGAAACAAAACAATAACTAAAGCGGGTAAAAACATACCGAAGAAACAGGCCTGCTTCCATGCTTTGGTAAACAATCCCCATGACCATTAGAGCTAGATTTTCCAACTTTTGAGCTACTTTTGGATGTCAGCCCAGTCGATATTTCCTTTGCCAATTCAAATGTTTCTGAGATCAAAAAAACTATATTAGCATGAAGCTGCAAAGCCGAAGAAACAGAGAAAATGAAACCTCATCAAGGTTTACTACAACATACCTTGGAAAGCCCCATACTGCTTCAGTCGTTCAAGAACAATAGCTAAGGCGGGTCCATGAATATCTTTCATATTCTTAGACACCTGGACATATAATAAGATGATAAAAAGCTCAGGAGTTCTGCTAAATTTCAACAAAATTGAAAAAGTGGCATATAATGGGTTATAATGATGTTTGTAATATCTCCTATATAAGGTTTGTCATTTGGTCTTGTAAGATAAGAAGTTTTGAATATAACAGAAATATATTCCTTCTTCCTCATATTTTCGGAGTTCTTCTTCCTCATATTTTCTAAGTATATATATATATATAATAAAAAAAGTGGGGAACAACATGATGTCTTCGGGGATCGTGTTGAATGATGGTGTGCATTGGGTGACCTTTCACAGTGGGTGGGTCACATGGAGAGAGAAGAACAACACACATATGCATGTGCTCTCTCTTGCTGTCTGTCATCTCCTTCTATGTATGATAGGAGAGAGAGAGAGAGAGAGTCCAAGACCAAGAAGAGAGAGATTAAGAAGAGTGAGCAAATGTTGAAGTTGGCGAACTGGTCGGGCGACGGCATGAGCAAGCGACGGCTCGGGTCGCGGTGTTGGTGTGTCCGGAGCTGACGAAGCCAACGAACAAAGGCGCAGTGAAGGTCAGTAGATCAGGTTGCGGCGGCTGCTGTGGACTGGTATACTGTTCCGGCAAAGGGATCTGTATGTACTCCTCGAGGGTCTACGAAGGTTGACCTTAGAGAAGGAGATGACTGCATTATGGAGATATTGGCGACACTTCAACCTTGTGGATGCCATCCCCAACCCATCTAAAGAACAACTAATGGATGTTGTCCAGAGGCATTTTATGTCACAGCAATTGGATGAGTTTGCCAAACATAAAACCAGCAAGAGAGAGGAGAGCAGTGATTCTGAATCAAAGTCAAACCCAAAACCAGAGCCGTACAATTGGCTGACGAATTTCCACAGGGATTTGATTGCAGGAGCGTTGATGGGAGGCGTGGTGCACACGATTACGGCCCCAATCGAGAGAACGAAGGTTATATTGCAGACCCAAGAGAGCAACATCAACATAGTCGCAGAGCCTCATCGGAAGTTCAAGGGCATGGTCGATTGCATAGTCCGTATGGTCAGAGAAGAAGGTGATTGCTGAGTACATATGGATTGGTGGTGCTGGCATGGACCTCAGAAGCAAAGCAAGGACTCTTGCTGGACCTGTGAGTGACCCCAAGAAGCTTCCAAAGTGGAATTATGACGGATCTAGCACAGGACAAGCTCACACCTGGTGGTGAGCCAAGTCCAACAAACAAGAGGTTCAACTGTGAGAGGAGGGGCAGTGGTGGTGGACTCAAATATATTTCAAGGTATGTGTAGAAAATTCTGGCGGATTAGGTTGAGGTCCGGCGGACGGCCAAGGCGAGGTTGCCGCCCGCCGGTGAAACGAAAAATACTAAGTGTTTAACCTTGCTCTGATACCATGTAGAAATTTAATGTATAAAGAGAAATAGAGAATTGTATTATTGATTGATTTATATTTATATCTATTACAATGATTCATGATTCCTATATATAGAAGAGGGTGAGTGTGTAGTAGGTAAGGAGTAGGTGAAGTGGATGTGGTAGTGGTGTAGTGGGTTAGGTTTAGTGGAGTAGGTGAGGTGGTAGTGGTGTAGTGGGTTAGGTTTAGTGGAGTAGGTTTAAGTGGGTGAAGTAGGTGGAGAGTAGGTGGATTTTAACAGTGGTTAAAGCGGTTTCTCCAAGAATTAGGTCTACAGCAAGAAGAGTATAAAGTACATTGTGATAGTCAGAGTGCAATTGATCTAAGTAAGAATTCCATGTACCATTCACGTACAAAACACATTGATGTCCGGTATCATTGGATACGAGAAGTGATGGAAAAGCAACTAATGAAACTAGTGAAAATTCACACGGACAAGAATCCTTCTGACATGATGACCAAGGGTGTCACCAGAGACAAACTGGAAGTTTGCAAGAATCTGACCGGGATGGACTTCAAGTGAGAAGCCAGTTATCCATGTGGGCGTGGAGGGGGAGAATTGTTAGCTCCAGCCACTACCCACATGGTAAGGAGCCCACTATCCACATGGTGTGGGTGGCACCATGTGGTAAAGGAAGCTGGTGGGGCAGTACCAACTCACCAAAGGTAGATGGTGAGAGTGGCCCAACCAAGCCCCACTCATTGTTGTCACCAAACCCACTCCTCTCTTGTTATAAATTGAGATGAGTGAGGAGGGGTTGGCGATGGGAATGGCACACAAAGCTGAAGAAAGCAAACACAGAGTGTATAATCTGTGAGTGAGAGTGCATTCTATAGAGGGTTGTGAGATGCAGTGTTGTCAAAAGCGCGCCTAGGCGCAAGGCGAGTCGAGGCGTAGCATCTGCGCTTGTACAGGTACCAGGCGAGGCGACTTGAGCCAGGCGAGCGCCTTAGCCGCGACTTGAGCAAGGCAAGAGAGGCGCAAGGCGATCGCCTAGGCGCGACTGAGTGTTCAAGTTGTAGATCTGATCTAACGACTCAGATGAACCTTTCGAATGGCTCGTAATCATAGAGGATTACGACTCATGTACCATATGAGCGAAATAGGACTCAGATAACCCTAATCGAAGTCGTCTCTTCTCTATAAAAAAAATAGAAGTCTCTTCCTCTTCCTCTGCGACTACGACTTCGATCGGCTTCGCAGGTTCGACTCTCTCTCCCCTTCTCCTTCTTCTTCATCTTCAATCGACTTCTTCACCTCTGTTTTTTGCCTTCGACTCTTTTTTTTTTTTTTTTTTCCCTGATTTGTTTTGGTTTTTTTTTTTTTTTTTTTTTTTTTTTTTGAATTTTTTGGTTTTCATTTTTAAGTCTTTGATATTGTTTTTTTAATAACTATTTTATTTTTGATAAATAAATAAATAATTTTTTTTTTCAATTATTTGACTTTCATAACCCTGATTATTACATAAACAAATTAATTAATTAATTAATTCATACATACATACATAAATAAAAAAATAGATATATTATATTCATTATGATTATACTGAAATTGATTCATCATTATAGTGAAATTAATTAATTCACCATTAATTAAAAAAAAATAGAAAATTGATTCATAACATTAATTAATTCATACATTACATACATTACATTACATACATTAATAGAAAATTGAATGTAACATAGGAATGAATGTAATGGAATGTAATGTACATTAATTAATTAATTCATCATTAATTAAAAAAATTGAAAATTGATTCATACATTACATACATTAATTAATTCATCACATAACATGCATTACATTCATTATACTGAAATTGTTTTTTTGTTATTTATTTTTTGTGTTGTGTAGTAAGTACTAAGTAGAAAATGACACCGGAAAGTAATAGAAAAGATCCGGCGTGGTAATATGCCCATTTGGTGGAGGAGAATAATTTAAACAAGTTTGAGTGTAATTTGTGTGGTAAAGTATCAAATGGAGGTGTTTATCGGGTGAAACAACACCTTGCGGGAGGTTATAGGAATGTCACTGCTTGCCCGAAGTGTCCTTCTCATGTAAGAGAAGAGATTAGAGAGTTCATGTCCAAAAAAAAGATACAAAAAGAAGAAATGAACATGTTGCCTGACTTCGATGACATGGACATGGACATGGAAGATGAATATGATGATGTCGTTGAGATCAATGTCAATCAACACCGCAAGTTGGCAAGTAGTAGCCAAGGTTCATCCAAATCCAAATCAAAATCAAAAATGCCAAAGAGAAAAGGGCCTATGGATGTTTACTTCATACCCAATCCTGAATCAGTGGTGAAAAATCGAAAAGACCAAGCAAAAGGAAAACAAACCAAAGTTGATGCAAATGACCCTTACAAAAAAGAAATGAGAGCTCGGGCACTGCAAAGATTTGCAAAGTGGATGTATGATGCTGGTATCCCTTTTAATACAGTAAATTATGAGAGTTTTGGACCATTGATTGAAACCATTGGCCAATATGGTCCTGGTATGAAGTCACCGACTTACCATGAAGTGCGGGTTACCCACCTCAAAAAAGAAGTAAAACATACTGAAGATTTGATGAAGTATTATAAAGAGGATTGTGCAAAATACGGGTGTTCCATAATGGCTGATGGTTGAACTGATAAGAGAGGAAGGACATTGATTAACTTGTTAGTTAATTGTCCAAGAGGAACCATGTTTGTTGAGTCGGTTGATGCTTCTAGCTATTCAAAGGATGGGCAAAAGCTATTTGAATTACTAGACAAGTTTGTGGAGAAAGTTGGAAAAGAGAATGTGGTACAAGTTATCAATGATAGTGCTGCAGCTAATGTGTTGGCGGGTAAGAATATTTCCTCATTCCTTACATCAAAATTGTTTACTCATAGTTTGTTTTGTATTTAAAATTTAAAAACTTGAAAATAATAATTCTTCATTATTGTTACATTATAGGGAGGTTTTTGGAAGCTAAGTATGAACACTTGTATTGGACACCATGTGCTGCTCATTGTTTAGACTTGATGTTAGAAGACATTTTCAAGATACCTAGACTGAAAAAGACATTTGAAAGGGTATTGCAGTACATGGCTACATTTACATTCGGCCTACGTTGCTAAAAATGATGAGGCGCTATAAAAATTTGAAGAATTTGATCAAGTCTGCAAAAACTAGATTTGCAACCGCCTTTTTGACTTTGTCTAGGATGCATCAATGAAAAAATAATTTGAGAAAGATGGTCACCTCCGAAGACTGGACCTCAAGCAAATGGGCAAAGGAGACACAAGGTAAAAGAATGGCACAAACTTTGTTGATGCCTTCATTTTGGAATACTGTGGTGTTTGCCCTTAAGGTCTCGGGTCTTCTTGTCAAAGTGCTTAGATTGGTTGATACCGAGAAGAAACCTCCCATGAGATACATTTATGAGGCAATGGATAGGGCAAAAGAATGCATTGCAAGTTCATTTGATCATAAAGAAGAGAAGTATAATGAAATCTTCGAAATCATTGGCAAAAGATGGGATGTCCAATTGCATTGACCTTTACATGCAGCTGCGCATTTTCTTAACCCAGAATTCTTT